CATATGTAAAGCAAATGAGTTTTTCGATAAAAGTAAAGTCTAAAAACACACACAGACACACTAAAACCTTTTTCAAAATAATTTTCCAAAAAGAAAACACTTTGAAAAACATCTAGAAGTTGTATCAGATTAACCAGGAGCAGTCAAATAAGCCATAGACGAAATTTTTACTCTTATAATCTATTAGAAGAAATATTCAATCAAGTAGATTTACACAAACTCTAAGACCCAAGCTAGTTTGAATGCGCCTCGATTCTGTACAATGACTGGATTTCTTAACTTTCCATTTTAAGACCTTACAGTCGTATATTACATCATCTAATCGATTAGCAACTTGGTATAATAGATTGAATAATGGTAAAAAGTGTTAAATGCAAAGATATCTCATTTCTCATCTCAAAGCATCGAGAATCGAGTTTTGACACTATCATGTCTCTCTCTCACACACACACACTCTCTCTCTCTCTCTCTCTAAAGTTTTATTTAACTTTATCTCAGTAAATGTTTTAGCCAAATGCCTTTGAGAGAAAAGTTAATTTGTGAGTGAGGATATATCTGTAATTTTGGAAAGGGTGGAATTGTAAAATTCACCAAAATAATCTTTTATATACACATTGGTCGAATATTGTCTATTTAGGGATTTATATGGGTTATAAGCTCATCCTATGAAAAGCTTATATTTGGGAATTTTGTGATCAGTCATAGGTTTGGTTGAAGATTAGTCAGTGCTAAAATGTTCATAGATTCTTGATTAGCCCGATTAAAACCAACATAGGTTGAAGTTCAGCCCGACAAAAATTAACATGCTCATTGAGAAAATGACAAGGAAAAATATCATATCTCCAGTAGCCTCTAGAAAAGATGATGAGGTTGAGATAGATTAATCGTTTCTCAAATGTATTCACTCTTGCTTGTTTTTCTTTTCTTGCACATTATAAATTATGCATTCCCCTTATGTATCTTGAAATTTGATTAATAATGTGAGTGTGGTGTTTTCTTTTACTTAAATGGCTAAATTACCCTTGTTTTTCATATTTATTTCTCGCAATGTATCTTTATCCGCCTTTTTTATTTTGACAAAGGGAGAGAATTATACTCTTAGGGAGACGATATATTTTCTATCTAACTCGGGGGAGTTTTACCACTCCAAATATATTTATATTGTTTATTTTACCACATCTCCTAAGAGATACGTTGTCATCATTAAAAAGAGAGAGAATATGGAACCTTGTTTTGTAGGTAATATGACATCTATTTTTGATGATGACAACCACCTTGATGATAACCATGATAACTCATGTATGAACGATTAAGCGGCTAAAAATGCAAACCTAAATATTATGGTTTGATAAGTTTGACTATCCAATGAGAGAAAATTAAATGGAAATAATATAAAGCCTCGTATTAAAAGATCTCAAGCAGTGTCTACATAAATAAGAGTATTTGGCAAAAACATGTAGAAAATAAGTAATCTTCTAATTTAGTAAGTGAGTGATTATATGTAAAGCAAAGGGGCTTTTTTTTTTGTAAATGTAATGGTTAAAACACACACACACCCTAAACCTTTTTCAAAATGACTTTCCAATAATAAAATACTTTGAAAAACATATAGAAGTTGTATCAGATGAACCAAGAGTTGTCAAATAAGCCATGGGTAAAATTTTGACTCTTATAATCGTTTAGAAGAAATGTTCAATTGATTAGATTTGCACAAACTTAAGGCCCAAGCTAGTTTGAACGTGACTTGATTCTATACAATGACTAGATATTTTAACTTTCCCTTTTGATACCTTATAATCGTATATTTGCATCATCTAATCGATTAACAACTTGGTCTAATCAATTAGCTAACAGTAAAATACGTTATATGCAAATTCCATTTTGGGAAAACCTCTTGCCTATAAATAAAGGTCTCATTTCTCATCTTAAAAAATTCATAATTGAGTTTTGACACTTTCATCTCTCACACACTCTTTCTCTCTAAAGTTTTATTTAACTTTCTCTCACTAAATACTTTAGCCAAATGCCTTTGTGAAAAAAAAGTTCCTTTGTGAGTAAGGATATATATGTCATTCTATAAAAGGGTAGAATTGTAAAATTCACCAAAATAAACTTTTGTATACACCTTTGTTGAATATTGTCCATTTAGGAATTTATATAGGTTATAAGCTCATCCTATAAAAAGCTTATACTTTGAGTTTGTATGATCAGTCTTAGGTTTGATTGAAGATTAATCAGTGTTAAAATCTTCATAAATTCTTAGTTAGCCCAGTTAAAACCAACATAGTTTGAAGCTCAGTCTAGTATTAAAAGTTTCACAGGTTTGAGATCAATCCGGCTAAAATCTCATAGGTTTTTGGCTAGCCCGGTTAAAACCAAAGTATTGAGCTCAGAGTTTTTGAACTAGAAGACTAACTGCTCCAAGGTCCGTGTTCGTGGAAAGAATACTAACCACATTAATTCATAATTGGAAAAGAAGATTGGTCGCTTTTCTCTCAATAATATATTGAATAAAAGACGCAAACACCTTCATCCATCGTCTTGTATTATTTGGTTGAAGATCAACCATCATTTCCTTGTATAAGGGGGTTCGCGAGTCTTTCCTACTAAAAGCTCTCAATAATTATTGGAAATTCTCGAGATCAATTCTTGGGGAGAGGACTAGATCATTTTGATTTGATCAAACCTCTTTAATTCCTGATGTTCTTCTTCTTTCCTTAACCCTTTAAGTTCAGCAATTTATTTACTCCTATTTATTTTCCGCTACTTACATTTTGTAAATATTTTTAAACTCTGATTTTAATGGACTAACTTTTTCATACTCAGTTTTTAATATAAAAAAGTTTCAAAACCACATAATTCACCCACATCTTGTGTGCGAAGTCTCAAATCAAACAGAAACACACACACACACACGCACACACGCACGCACGCGCGCATACACACACACGCGCGCATACACACACATGCACGCACACGCGCGCAAACACACACACACACACACACGCACGCACACACACACGCACACACGCGCGCGCGCACACGCGCGCGCGCGCACACGCGCACACACACAGATATATATATATATATATATATATATATATATATATATATATATATATATATATATATATATATATATATATATATATATATATATATATATATATATATATATATATATATATATATATATATATATATATATATATATATATATATATATATATATATATATATATATATATATATATATATATATATATATATATATATATATATATATATATATATATATATATATAATAGTTTATTAAATATATTATTTTTTTCATTTCACAAAATAATTACTTTATTAAATATTTCAACTATTAATTAATATTAGTTTAATTAAAATAATTATATAATAAATTAAATAGTTGAAATATATAAAAAAAGTGGAGCACAAAGAATAAATTTATTCCAAAAACAAAGTAGCTACAAAAGCTGATCAAATGATCCAGGCTCCCAAAAGACAAGCAGACTAGAAAACCAAAAAAAAAATAATCAAGCATCTAATCTATTACATTAAGGGGCCGACTTCACATTACACCCAGCTCCCCCATCTCACAGCTTGAATGATGTCTTGGCTGTCAAGATCCTTACTTCTCCTATCTTGGAAAATCCCCGTGTTCCTCATTGTCCAGACTGAATACACCATTTCAGCTATAGCCATTTTGAGCAACTTACTGCTACTACTTTTACCTTTAGTCTGCTGACATATCCAATTAAGTCCAGTATCTCATCCATGAGGAATGAGTCATGTTCATCCATTATAGCACCTGATTCCAAACATTATTGGTTTCACAACAGTAAAAAAAGAGATGCTTGTAGATCTCAGGTTCACCATAAAAGCAACACTTACCATCAGTTTGCACTCCAATTTTGTTCAACTGATCCTTAGTCATGAGTTTATACTTGCAAGCCAACCATAAGATAAACATAGACATAAGTCTAGCCCTATTGACAAAAAATAGCTTCCTTTAAGTAACTTTAGGCTTACTACCGTGAAGAGCTTTATACATATTCCTAGTAGTATACTTCCCATTGTTTTTGAAATCTTTCCAAGCACCAGTTTATTTCAACTCCTCATTATGCTTGAACATAGATTTAACTATCCAAGATCAATGTTATGGAGGCTTGTATGTATTGGGGTCACTTCTTTTGATGTAATACATATGGATCTATCTGATCCAAAGCCTATCTTCTTTAGCACAAAAATCCCACAACATATTACCAATTTTAGCTTTATTCTAGCTAGCCAAGGAGATCAAGTTTCTGCCACCTGCGGATATAGGATCACACATACTATCCTAAGAGACAGAAGCTTTCTTGGAAGGTAGATATTTACCAGTTCAAATGAAAGTTCTGCACATCTTTTTAATATGGTGAAGGACTCTTTTTGGGAGAGGGAATATTAATAATTACCACTTTAAAAAGAACACTTCTCACCAATTAAATTCTACCTGAATAAGATAATAATCTAGTACACCAATGGTTAGTCTTATAAGCATATTATCAGTGAGAGGTTGGCACATGTTAATAGTAAGTTTGTTGCTATCTAAAGGAGCACCTAGATACTTGAAATAAAAGCTACCTATAGCAAACCCAGTTTCCTCTTGTATGACCCCTGTGTTTTCTCATCAATCCCTCCAAAGAAGATTGTACTTTTGGGTATGCTAGCTTTCAGCCCCGTGGCACCAGTGAAATTTCTAACCTTCTTCATCATAAGCCTAACAGATTCCAAGTCTCCTCTAGCAAATAGAAGGAGGTCATCAACAAAACACAAGTTGGTTATCTTCATCTTATTACATTTGGGGTGGAAATTGAAGTTAGGATTTAGAACCAGGCTTTGCAGAACCCCGTGAAGATACTCCATAATCATGACAAAGAGTAAGGGAGGAATGTGATCTCCTTGTCTCAACCCCCTATTGGCCCTCAGAATTCTATAAGAAATTCCATTAATGAAGAACCTGTATGATACAGTAGTAACACAAACAAAACAATCCAGTCAACAAAAACATTAGGGAAGCCAAGTTCATAGAGGATGTATGTGAGAGTAGACCATTCAACTGTATCATAGGATTTTTAAATATCCATCTGGATCATGCACCTAGGGGAGATGTATTTTCTACCATACCCTCTAATTAATTCTCGAGCCATCATAATATTGTCATAAATATATTTACCAGGAACCAATTCAGACTGGATATCATCAATTACCTCATTAATAACTATTCTCAACCTAGTAGTAAGAATTTTAGAGAGGATTTTATAAAATGTGCTACATCAGGATATTGGTCTCATATCTCTAATAGTATCAGCATTAGAAGTCTTAGGGATTAAAGTAACTAAATAGCAGTTAAAAGCTTTATATAAGTACCTCTTTTAGAAGAATTCCATGATTGCATCAATCACATCCTTTCTAACTATGGGCCAGGTAAATTTAAAGACGGAAGAATTACAACCACCCATACCTGGTGCTTTAGTGTTTCTAATACTAGTCAGGGCTTACCAAATCTCCTTCTCATCAATAGGCCTGATGAGACTCTGAGCACTCTCCCTAGACAACTTGTTTCCACTCCTTATAGTTGGTAAGTCAATACTCTCAAGTTCCTTAACTGTAGTTCCCACCAGATTTGTATAGAACTCAAATATTTCATCCTCAATACCTTAATGGTTAGTGAGGCTAGCTCCATCCAAATAAGTAAGGGTGTAGAGGCCTTTATGCTTGTTATTTTTCTTCACTGAGGCATGAAAGAAAGCATTATTGCAATCTCCTATTTGAAGCCAGTTTATCTTGATCTTTTGCATCAACGGAGACTCTTCTAGCTGATTCAATTTAACCACTTTATCAGTACATAACTCTATATCATCTATTGATCTTCTGTCAAACAAATTCTACTGCAAAGATTCTTGAGCCTGCACTAAGGTATCTCTGGCCTGCTGTATCTAAATTTGAAAATCGGTGAGCTTTTTATTCAGTGGATTGAGGATAGGCTGAATCCTTTTGAGTTTGGTCCAGAGCTTGTACATAGGTGGGTATCTCATCTCAAACAACCAACTCATATAAACCAGCTGGATGTAAGTAGGATCTTGTGTCACATTATTCAAAAAATTTAAAAGGCTTCTTTTTTGCTGCACATGCTTAATATCCCCCACCTTGATAGAAGCATGATCATAAATTTTAGGCTTGAGAACTTCCACTGTGGCGTTGGAATACTTTTGGAACCAATCAACATTCCAAATCATCTTGTCTATTCTAGAATAGATGGGATTCATGGAATTCTTATTGGACTAAGTATAATGATAACTCTAGGATCTAGCTTCAAAAAGGCCCAAGTTTTGCATCATAAAAGACAAATCTTTGTACTCACCTTCCTGCACTGGACTACCTCCCACTCTATCATTTCTACTAAGAACATTATTATAGTCACCTATAATAATCCAAGGAGAACTAATTGTATTTCCCATCCTCTCAATATCCTTCCATAGAACCTTCTTGTGTTCTAGTTGGTTGTAAGCATAGACAACAATTATCAGATATTGAAGATCCTTAGCCAAATCATTCACTTCTGCATGAACAACACTGGGCATTAGTATGAAGAGCTTTAATGGTAACCTCTGTATGTTTCCATAAAAGCCAGATTCTCCCATTGTCATGATCCGTGTAGTTATCCTCATAACTCCAATTCCCCCATTTTATTCAGGATTTTCTTTGCTTTATCCTTTTGACTCTAGTCTCAAGTAAGGCAATTATTTGAATATTGAAATCAGAGAGTGATGAGCTAATCTCTTATGCCTTGCCTCTTTATTCATGCCCCTCACATTCCATGTAATTATAATGAGACATATGAGGAATCCCCTAACAGACAGATTACAATCCTTAAGGGTTTGAAGCTATTGTTGCAAATTAAGTTTTGAATAGATGGGATGTTATCTTCCTTACAATTTTCCTTTTTACTCTATCTCTTTTTCTTGTTGTTACCACAGTCCAAGATGCAATAGGGCTCCCATTAATCTCATGCTCTTTAGGTTCCATCATCTGAGGTATCTTGTGTTCATCTATGGCTTCTGGCTTAGAGAAATTAGGTTTGGGTTTCCATATTTCTTCCTTTTTCATATTATGTACATGCCATACTTTTTTCAAGGCACATTCATGCCCAACCTTCAAACAATGCTAGAAGTAGCTAGGTTTCCATTCATACTCAAATATTTTCTCCAACCTTCTTCCATTATAATCATGAACCCAAATATGGTCCCCACTTTTCTGTGTTATATTAACTTCCACAAAAACACTAGCATAAGAAATTCTCAATTTCTTAGTTGTGCATTCATCGGTTGTAATATGACTACCTACAACAGTAGCTATTTTTATATACTTTTATCTCCCCAGAGGTGCAGTGGTAGGTGTGGTAGTTTAATCCATAAAAGGACAACCCTCATTAGATCCTCTCTAATTTCAAAGTCAGCTGACCAATTTCTAAGAAATAGGGGAACTCCATAGATGAAGTATGGCCCCTGAATCATCACTTTATCCCTATCCCCAATATATTTAAATCTAAATATGAAGTAGCCAATATCATTATAGTAAAGCTCAAGTAATGACACAAAATTTCATACCTTCTCCATGAATTTTTTAACAGCGTTCATGGACAGAGCCTTTCCAAGTGCAAAGAGTATCAAAGCAGGTTCCCAATAGTGCAATTCGTCTTCTACATCTAATTCCTCGATGGTAACTTCAACTTCTCCATTTACCACTTTTGTTGCAACAAATTCTACAGACATGCCTCTGTTGAGATCCCTATTGCCTTGAATTACGACCACCCATGGCTTCCCCTTGGTTTCCACCTTAGGTCCCTCATCCAGATTATCCTTATTATCCCAACTTTTTGGAGTTGAAACCCTAACCGGAGTTGTAATCTCAATCTTCTTAGTGATTTTGCTCGGTGTACCACTGTTGTTAGGGAAATCGATTTCAATAACCTTCAAGGTATCCTCCATCACCTCTATCAGATTCACCATCAGATTCAGATTTTCTTTATTTTCCTCTTTAGCGCTATCTCCATCTCGCTCTGAATCTACCAGCGCCTGAGTAATAATCCTCCTCTCCATAGTCTTCTGGTGGGTCACCGCCTCTTTCTTCAGTCGACCGACACCCCACTGCACCGAAATCGCCTCAGAGAGAGAGAGCCAATTTTTTAATATAATATCTTCAAATTAGTAAAAGATGAAATATTAATATTTAAAATAAACAAAACTATTAAGTTTACTAAATAACTACTTTATTAAATATTTAATAAAATAGTCTATTAATAATGGAATAGTATGTTAATTAGTTTATTTAAGAATTAGTTTATTAATTAATTATAGAAATATTTTACAAATATTTAATAAGATATTTGAAATATAACATATTTTATGAACAATTAATATTTCATAAATTAATATTTCAACTATTAATATTTAATAAACTATTTATTATTAATTAATAGTTAAATTATTAATAGTTATAATATTAAATAGTTAAAATATTTAATAAATTAATTCTTTAATAAACTAAATAGTTTAAATGTTAATAATTGAAATAATTAATAGACTAATTATTTGAATAAAATTAATAGTTGAAATATTATTATTTAAAAATTTAAATAATTTAAATATTCAATAAAATAATTATTTAATAAACTACATAGTTGAAATATTAATAATTTAAATAAACTAAACTATTTAGTTTATTATATAATTACTTTATTAAATATTTCAGTTATTTAATGTTTCAAACATAATTAAATACTTATTTCATATTTAATAAATTATTTAACATTTTAACCATAATGAAATATATTACATACAAATACTTCAACAATTTATTAATGATAAAATAGTTTTTATTAATAAATAATAATTAAATATTTCATATTATTTCATACAATTTTATAATTATGTCAAACTACTCAATAATTATTTCAACTATTTAGTTTATTTAAATAATTATTTATTATTTTATAAACTAGTTAATCATTAATAGTTTAAATATTATAAATTATTATTAATAATTGAAATAAAAAATAATTGAAATATTTAATTAAACTATTCAATAAACTATTTTGATAATACTATTTTGTAATACTATTTGGTAATACTATTTTAGATAATCCTATTTAGTTATTCTGTTTGATTATGGGTTTAATTTTTTTTTAACAGAAGTTTAATATTAGAGACTAATTCTAATAGAAAATTAACTAGGAACTTCATAAAAAAAAAGATTTAGAGACAAAAATAATTTTTTTCTTAAACATGCTATTTAAATCCTTTATTTATTATTAAATGATCACTTGCAATTATAATGTTTTCTTTGTACTATTCAAACAAATCCACAATTAGTTTTAATATTTTTATTTTTAATTTTATCTTTACAGTTGCACTAACATCAATCAACTTTTTCTCTTAATTTTCTTAATCTTGGACATGTTAATATAGGATTGAATATGAATCCGTGCAACTTGATTATTGCATAGGATATCATAAAAATAGGAGTAGCAGGAGGATTACAAACTTATAAAAGTTGGCTGCTCCAATACATTCTGATTTTATATTTATATTAAATTTTAATATATTAATTTTATTTTATATTTTTAATAATAAATAATTTTTTATATATTATTTTTTAAAGATGTGTTATTAAATTTTAATTTATAATATATTTAAAAGTTGAAATATAATTACTATTTTAAATTAAGTGATCACAATTAAATAGATAATAAACTTATCAATAAGTTATCATTCAAAAAAAATTAAACAGTTTAGTTTAGTCTTGACTAACTTAATTATTTTTAAAAGTTTAAAACATTTTTCATTGGTTTAGTTTTTTTTTATATTATTATACTAACTCTAAATAATATATATATATATATATATATATATATATATATATATATATATATATATATATATATATATATATATATATATATATATATATATATATATATATATATATATATTAATAAAAAATACTAATAACTAATACACTATTAAAAAATTGTGTTATCACAAATATATAAATTAAAATTTTTCATTGCAATCATGTTTTTAATATAATTTTCTTAAAAATTTTAAATGAGTATTAAATTTGTCACTGCAACCATGTTTTTAACATAGTTTTTTTAAAATTTGTAAGATCTCATTAATCAAAGTATATTTTCAAAATATAAAATTATATATTTATATTTCTCCATCGTTAATTAACACATGTTATTATTATCATATGGCTAAAATTCTATAACTAATAATTAAATAAATAAATTTTAGTCTAGATATTTTTTATAATTAAAATAAAAAATTATTTTTTAAAACGAAGTTTTTGTATTTTTTTTAATCGAAAGTCTATTTTAAAATTTGAACAGAGCATATGAACTGTTTTATATATATATATATATATATATATATATATATATATATATATATATATATATATATATATATATATATATATAAAGTTATTCTACATTTAATATATAAAACATAATAATATTATATCTATTGTATCTAATTGTTAATTAAAGACAGTAAAAAAAATTAGAAACATTGCGAATGAAAGAGATGGTAGAAGAAAAAAATTTAGAATATAAAAATAAAAATGAATTGAAATATTGGCAAGTATTTCATTTTGTCTTTTGAATATATATTTAAATATCACAAAACATTGCAGGTTGTGATTTGAATGATTAATAATAAAAACATGCCAAATGAAGAAGATAACATAAGCATGAGGGGAATGAGTTTGACCCAACTACTAATTTTTGCAATAGTGGGTGAATATGAGCCAACTACTCATTTTTGGATTCCACACACTGCATTATTGGATAGGATAATTTTTTTCATTTTAATTCTCGTTGCTTTTTAATTGAATTTCTATCATCTCAGTTTTCATTCAATCAAACAAAGGAGAGAGGAAACAGATTTTTTTCTTTTATTTTTCTCTAAATCACACAATAACATTAAATATATATTTCTTACTTCTCTCTCTATTCTCATAGTCTCTCATTTCTTTCTCAACTAAATATAGCCTAAAGATATTTATTAGATTAATTATCATTGGTATATCTAGTATGGTCAAATATATATTTTTGGCAAGTACATTTGTACATCCCAGATATATTTGTTAATTACGTTAAGATAATTAATGGTCCCCAATCATTCGGTTTGGAGGGAAGCCACTATAAAGAGAAAATAGTATTCGAATTGGAGATTATTACAGCTTTCACACAAAAAAGATTTTAATATAATTCTTATTCTATTTAAAGTATGAGAAATCTAAGATTTTTAAATTTCTACTTATCTTATAAAAAAGGTCTGATGACAAAGGTTTTTTTTAAAGATGTCAGTAAATTGATTTTTAGTGTCAATGTATTCAGAAACAACATTCTCTTTTTTAACATGATCTCTAAGAAAATGGTGTTGAATCTCAACGTGTTTAGTTCGTGAATGAAGTATTAAATTCTTAGTGAGGCTAACCACACTAGTACTATCTCACTTAATCAAAATGCAACCAAGTTTGAAATCATAATCTAACAATTGTTACGTTAGCCATAAGATTTATGCTCAATAACTACCAGTGGCTACGTATTCATACTCTCTGGTAGAAAGAGCAATAATATGTTGCTTCTTAATGTTCCAAGAAACTAAACAACTTCTAAATAAGTGACACGTATCACTAGTACTTTTCCTATCTGACTTTCACCCTGCAAAATTGAATTTAGAATAACCTACTAAGCTACAAGCACTACCTTTAGGATACCAAAGACCGTGTTATGAGGTTTCGTTAAGATACTTCAACATATGTTTTACAATCTTAAAGTGAGATTTCTTAGGTGATACTTGATATCTAGCACACATGCACACGCTAAACATGATATTTGGCCAACTCGATGTTAAATAGAGTAAGGATCAGATTATATCTCCCTGGTAATATTGAAGTCCACTCCTCTTTTGTCTTTCTCAATAAGCACATTAGATACCATATGTGTTGAGATACTTTTCGAGTCTTTCATATCAAACTTCTTCATAAGCTCTAAGTAGTATTTTGTTTGACTTATGAAAGTGTCTTCTTCGACTTGCTTGATTTGCAATCCTAAGAAATATGTCAGTTCTCCAATAAGAGACATCTCAAATTTATCCAGTATCAAACTTGCAAATTCTCGACAAAGTGATTCATTAGTAGAACTGAATATGAGATCATCTACATATATTTAAACTGAAAGAAAGTGTTTTTCTTTACGTTTAATAAACAAAGTGGTGTTCTTGTAGTTTATTCCTTCAGCTTGACTATATCCTTTTGCTACTAACCTTGCTTTATTTCTAATAATTAAGCCATTGTCATCCATCATGTTCCTAAATACCCATCTAGTGCCATTGGCAATTTAATCAACTGGACGCAGAACTAGGTCCCAAACGTTATTACATTTAAATTGGATTAGACTTTTTTCATAGCAAGTAAACATCCCTCGTCAAGTAAGGCATAAAATATCGATTTAGGTTCAATATGAGAAATGAAAGTAGAGTGCTTACAGAAATTATTAACTTGTGATCTAGTACTTACATCTCTTTTGATATCTCCCAGAATTTGATCTAACATAAGATCTCTTGTGATTATCCAATCTAGGCAGTTGGTTAGAGGTCTCTTATTTTTCATCCTCGTGTAAGTTTTCCTTTTTATATTCCTTAATGTCCTCATCATTTATTGAATGAGTATGATCCTCTTTGTAACTTTCATCGTCGATCAGCTTCTCCGTTATCACACTTGAAACATCAGAACAAATACATTTTCTTGTCCTTTAGGGCGAGGACTCATCAAATGCAACATGAATATATTCTTCTACATGAGCAATTCTATGATTATAAACTCTATAAGTCTTACTCGTAGATGAGTACCGTAAGAATACCCCTTCATCAGACTTAGCATAAAATTTACCAAGTTGTCCTTTATGTTATTTAAAATAAAACATTTGCAACCCAAAATGCAAAAATAAAAAATATTTGGTTTTAAGTAACTCATAGGGTGTATTCTCTAGGATGGATCAAATGATCATCCTATTTAAGACATGGCATGC